ATTATTCTACATTGTAATTGTGACGGTACTGTTAACAATATGGATCTTGGTATACATCATAATAGAATTTATTAAATATTGTAAACGGCAATTAGAAATGTGGATGTGCAAAGTTACATCGGCACAAATACAAGAAACATTGAAGAGGTTGGAATTTGAAACTTCGACTATCTCAGATAGATCTCTTTCGATGAATAAATTGATGGTTTCAAGTCGCAATAACAATAACTCTTTTCGTTACGCCGATAAGTTTGATATGGAATCTCAAACTGAAGGGATTTTCTTAAAAAATATCACAGAACCGACATTATGTGAAGATTACGAAACAAAACAAAAATTTGAGAAAGTGGAGTTAGAAGAAACTCCCATTCCTGAATATTTCAGCAACTCGGATATTTATTCAAATAAACAGGAAGAAGTGGAAGCGATCGAAATGGAACCGTTATTATTCATTTCAAAGCAGCCACAGAAGTTGCTTTTAAAACAACCCAGACGCGTGTTTTTCTTCAAAAAAAGAGACAATACAACTAAAAGTAATAAAAATATCCGATTTAACCCTCCTCCAATTCATTACGACAAAAATCATGAAACTAAGTATACAGCGGAGTCACTATCATTTTCGACAGATTATCTGGAAGCAAAGCGTGCTGATGACTCAAAGAATTACATGTCGACTGAAGCAACTTCTAAAGACGGAATATCATTGATGTTTGAACTTTATAATGTTTTAAGAAAGATGGACAAAGAAGGATTTTTTTAGGAAAAGTCTTTGAAGAACTCCAATTATGATAACGATATTAATATAAATCTGGATAAATTTGAATCTGCGACAGTTCGAGCTGTTCCTTCGCAGAAGTGTCTGTTTGAAGAGGAATACGGAACAAGTAATCCATTTATATAGATCAGTACTCGGAAGAGTGAGATCTTTCTTCATGTGTAATGAATTAAGATTAATTATTGTTCTGCTGAACAAAAATTCTTTGTTTTACTTTAATTACTGTTGTATAATTTATCGTTTAAAATAAACACTTTAAAAAATATTACCTAAAACTTTTAGTAAATTACCCTGAATGCTTTGCCCGATCCACACCAGAGGTTTCTTATATATTCTTTGGATCCCGAGGTAAAATATAGACTACGACGAAATCTGGGCCAACTGTTCTCCCGATTTGATCCTCTTGACACTTTTTTATAAACATAAAAATGGTAGCCTAAAATAATCAAATTTTTAATATGGTTTTGCAAATGGTCAAGTAAGCGAGCAAACGAACGAACGAACAGGCCTCAATTATATTAGTCTATAACAGGGATGATCTATATTAATATAATGTTCGAACTCTGGATTAAAGGTCAAGGAAGCGCTAGAAGGAAGGTCACTTGTCACATCTCGAGAGGATACGGACTTAATGACGATTTTACTCGTTATTAGCATTTACAATTTTTAAAAGAAATAAAACTCATCTCTACCCTCAAAATTAAGCGTTTTGCCATTTTATTATAATATAAAAAGGTTTTTATGATAAAATCTCAAAAAAACAAATGGCACCGCATAATTTTATTCATTATAATTAAGAATATAGTTGTTTTTTTAAATAAAATCTCATAACAGCTAAGAAAATTATGCAACTCGTTGCTGGATCTTTTACTTTGGCAATATCTAACATTTTATTACAAATAAAAATAAAGATGCAAATTTACATATACAATAACACATAGTTCTACTACTCGATGCGCTTTGTTTGAGTTACAAGTAATGTGTCGTGACAGTTAAATAAAAGAATGTTTTAAACTTTCATGCATATAAGCTAAACACTCAATTTATATAGACCTGTGTTTTGGAAACTCTCGAAAAGTGGGTCTTATTATTTCACCAAAGAGATGTTTGTGTTTAGGGCTACCTGCTCATTAAGTTCCGTTTTAATTGGAGACCCGAACGTTTGGTCTTTTCCTTGTCAGTAAAGTTTTAGTGTTCGCTACAATATTGTATTAGTATATGAATTTGCATTAAAGCTAGGCCTTTAAAGCTTGTATTGGGTTTGAAGTTAGAGCAGCCCCTTTAACCATTAATTTTTTGAACAAATAAAATGAGTAGAATGTTTTTTTTTTTTATTAATAAAAAGCAGTCTTAAAGATTATAATTTCTTAGAAAGTGAAGGAAACTTAGAAATCATCAAAGAACTAAACATCGTAGCAGCTCGGCTTACAATATACATGTCAAGAAGGTACAGGTATTTTACTAATAAAAGATAAGTAGATCAATAAATCATTGTAAAAGGAAAAATAAAACGTTCGAGAGATTTTATTTATTTATGTAATGTATAATATTCACTGAATTAATGTAGTTTCAAAAGAACTTCTATCTCAAAAGTATCTACTTTAAAACTGAAGAATGAAAAGAACTGTCCGAAATGCATATTTAATAATGTAGAACAGATAAAAAAGTGAATTGGTGTATAGTTGAAAACATTCCCCAAAAGGTGTGTTAAGTCCTCAGATTAGAAGCAAATATAGGAACTTGATAACAATAAATTATATTTTCCGTTAGTAAGCATAACATTAATTTTACTGGTATAAGAACTAATACGAACTCCCTAAGTTATCTCAGGAACTGGGGAAAAATCCTCTGCTTTTACTCTCGACAAACCTGGATCCAGTGTAATTAATTTCGGTAATTAACACTACACACACACACAAATCTTTTAATGTCGTAACTAACGTTACATACCTGGTTCCGCAGTAAGCACAGCCAGTTTACAGATGTTTTAGGTATTGCAAATGTTATATTATGGTTACATTTACAAAGTGTAAGAGTAATATGCATTATAGCATAAAGTATTACAATTACAATGAGAGGTTGGTATATATAAGTTTACAACTACCGTGTTTCCCCGAAAATAAGACAGTGTCTTATATTAATTTTTGCTCNTTGACCAAGGAGATGTTTGTGTTTATGGCTACCTGCTCATTAAGTTCCGTTTTAATTAGAGACCCGAACGTTTTGGTCTTCTCCTTGTCAGTTAAGTTTTGGTGTTCGCTACAATATTGTATTGGAATATGAATTTGCATTACAGCTGGGCCTTTAAAGCTTGTATTGGGTTTGAAGTTAGAGCAGCCCCTTTAACCATTAATTTTTTGAACAAATAAAATGTTTGTAATGATTAAAACTACAATTAAAGCAAAAAAAAAGTAAAACATTAAACCAAACCAGAGTGAAACAGAAATAAAAAGTCCTACCTATTTAGTGCCATAACATTTCAATTAAAAGAAACAATATAATTTATACACGTAAAATATGTATGCGTTTAGCTTATTATCTGTACTTTCTACACGTTCCTTATAAAATTATACGTTATGCATAAGAGATTAAACTTAGCCCTCTCTGATTATTTTTTGGGGGAAGTATGATTATCCCGTGTTACATAGAATTCTTAAATTTGTTATCCCTGATTTTCCTGCAAATCAGTTTCAACACCTTTACGATAAGGTAATACAGCCCCACACGGAAATCATGCGTGACTGATAGCCTTAGAAAATAATTTTCTTCTTCTGAAAACCCTTTCACGAATTTATATATCCCAAGTTTTAAAAAAATTCATTCGAATTTTTTATGTTTTTTTCACTTTATAAGAAGTCTTCCGCCTATCTGTTATTTTTTAAAGCAAATACATATTGCCTTTCCAAGCGATGCTAATAAATTGTATGCCTTTCGTATTTAAAAGGATCGCAAGGCATCCTTGTGAAATATTCCAGTGTTACCCTTGCTAAAAAGTATTACTAATTTACAATTTTCACTCGAATTTTTGAAATTTTGTAGCACACATATCAGATGTTAGTGGTACACAGATTGGAAATTAAAAACTGTTGGCCTAAAGGATGAAATTTTATCTTCGAATACAGAAGATGTACCTTTATTATAGCAAAGACAGTTATCGTCAGTAGCGGAAAAACCATAGATGCATAGGACCGCAAGTAGACTGAGGACCCATTTTTTCAAGAAGGGGGACTAAAGTCTGGAGAACAATGTATATATCTGTACATTAAATTACAGAATATTGGACATGAGTAATATCAGTATTCAGAAGGAACCTGAAGAAGCCAGAACTCCACCGAATGGTTTTTATTGCGACATTTGCATGGAGCTGAAAAATTGAAGCTTTGCTGCTGGTTACAATATAAATAATTTTGCATTAAAATTAGGAAATTAAAAGAATTTTTACGACATTCAGTATAATCTATAAAATGTATGCCAAATATGTTTATCAAGTACAAAAAAGTATCGTTGGCATTGCTATAATTTATAAAAGAAACTATAATACAGGTGTATTATACAATAAACGAGATAGATAATGGCAAAATTTTAAATTTACTTAATTAATTATTAAATTTTCTATAACAAGACATTTNCCGTGTGGCGTAATTGTCTGCTGACCAATCAGTGGCTGTACTTTCAAAAAGCCAACGGCCACTTTCAACCATCTGTCGATGACCGTTACGACTAAAAAAAAAAACTTCGCTAGGTCTTACTTTCGGGGGGAGGTTTTATATTTCGCAATTCAGCAAAATCTGTGCTAGGTCTTATTTTCTGCGGATGTCTTATTTTCGGGGAAACACGGTAGTAGATTAAGATTAAGTATACATGTTTTGTTTTATATAGAAAAGAGATTTGTTATAATACGCGAGACAAATTTTTCGCGTGTTGGGAAGGGCACGAAAATGTGTATGAAATTTATACAATAAATAATGGGTTATATGTAACAGAATAAACACAAAATATAATAACTACATTGAAAAGATTAAGGCTGTCAGGAACTAAATGTTTACACTCAGANATAATACGCGAGACAAATTTTTCGCGTGTTGGGAAGGGCACGAAAATGTGTATGAAATTTATACAATAAATAATGGGTTATATGTAACAGAATAAACACAAAATATAATAACTACATTGAAAAGATTAAGGCTGTCAGGAACTAAATGTTTACACTCAGAGTTCGAAACATTCATTTTGCATCGTGAACAGTTCTTGCTCTAGCAATTTCTATATTGGAAGATTTCTTCGCAAATTCCTAGAAATTTAAACAGTTAATTCATGTAGCATCATGCTAAAAGTCTGAGTGATGCTTAGAAGGAACCCCTAAACATTCGATTCATATTTAAGTTACAGTTGTAACCTTTCAATTTGAATCCATAAAATATCCTTGTCGCATATGCTCTTGAAAGTAGGTTCATAGAACAATATTTTAGAGGCAGAAAAGAGAAGAATTCACCATATATTACTTTATATCTCTTTAATACNAATTTCTATACTGGAAGATTTCTTCGCAAATTCCTAGAAATTTAAACAGTTAATTCATGTAGCATCATGCTAAAAGTCTGAGTGATGCTTAGAAGGAACCCCTAAACATTCGATTCATATTTAAGTTACAGTTGTAACCTTTCAATTTGAATCCATAAAATATCCTTGTCGCATATGCTCTTGAAAGTAGGTTCATAGAACAATATTTTAGAGGCAGAAAAGAGAAGAATTCACCATATATTACTTTATATCTCTTTAATACACTAAAATTATTGCAAAGATTCGGTACTGAAGCAGACCACTATAGGAACATTCTCCCACTAGAAGAGCCCAATCACATCTTCATTTCTGTGTTGAAATTCAATGTAATATCTATGTAGAATGTGGGAGGCTTTATGAAGGAGTTAAGTATGGATGTTTACGATTTTGCCGTAGCTTTTAATTATATTATAAAAATAAATAAATATTCCCTTATTGTTCAAAAGGTCGTTATGAGAGCATGGCCAAGAGTAACCACGGCTAATGAGGATAGATTTGAGTTGTTGTCTTTCTCTTTCAAGCATTACGCAGTTGAAGATATAATTATAATGAGTGCTCCCATCTTCAATTTTACAAGTTGGACATTCTTTATTGATGTATTCAGTAAATCTGTGTAGGTACTTGGCAAATTTACCATGATCGGTGAAAAATTGAGTGGACCAAAAACATGGTTTCATCCATGTGTATTTAAAGATATCTTTAATGATTGGAAAAAATTTGTAAGTAATTTTACCCTCATTGCTGTTCCATTTTTGCTGCCAGTTGTTGAGCATATTGCTCCAAAGAATGCCCTTGATAGTATTCAAGCTGATCTTGTTATAAGAAATTATAAGCTGATCATTATTAGCAGCATGTTTAGCCAAGTGATCTGCTCTTTCATTTCCGCTAGTCCCCCTATGTGCCATTACCCACTTGAATTTATAGTCATTATTTGAATTTAGAACAGACTTTTTAATAGCTGTAGACAATGGGTGAGCTTTAGTGCTTTTAATTGTGGCCAGTGAAGAAGCGCTGTCACTACATATTGTAATTCTTGTAAAGGAATAATGTTGATTGGCCCAGATAAGGGCCTGAAGAATTGCGAACATTTCTGCCTGAAAGACTGTAGAGAGTTCTCCCAGCCGAAACATTTGATAAGCAATCTCGATGTTATTTGAGTAAACCACAAAAGCACATCCTACGTTCCTTTCATTTTTAGAGCCATCAGTAAAAATAACTATATCGTTCTCTTGATCAGTATCTGTAATTTGGATTGGTAACTCACAGGGATTTGGGAGTAAGGACAATGGTGTTGGACGTTCCAAATCTGACGCAGTTATTGTACCAGTATTAATTTGTACGTCCTCCCCCCATTTAAAGTGACTGATCTGACTAAAATAATCTATATGCATTTCAATAGGTGGTTTTCGTGCGATTACCTGGAAGGCAGAGGTAGGCGCTGTTTTATAAGCTTTCGTCAATAAAATTAATGCCTTCCTCTGGGCCGAGTTAAGCTTTCTCTTAGCATGCACCTTATGGGATGCCCATCCCCAACTACTACAAGCGTACGTAATTGTTGGTATGAACAGCTGGTTGTAAATAATATCCAAAGCTTCAAAAGGCAAACCCCATGTACCACTCTGGAGTATGACTGAAAAATCAGACCCGTACGTTTGGTTATATAATCTATGTGTGCATTCCATAACAAACTACTGTCCAATATGACTCCCAGATATTTAAGTGTTTTGTCAATTTTGATCGACACACCTCCCATTTTCACGCTTGGAACTCGGAGAAATAAGTTTAAACGACCAGGGAGATTAAACATAATGCCTTTTGTTTTGTTTGCGTTGAATTGCAGTTTTTTTTTCTTTGCCCCAGTTGTGTATTTTTCCTAAGGTTGTTGTCCCTTTTTGTTCGAGTTCGGCTCTGCTATGACCTCCTATCAATATCAGCAGATCGTCTGCATATGCAATCATTCTCTCCTGACCTAAATCCTGATCAAGTGAATCTAAGGTAATTATCCAAGGTAACGGTCCTATTACCGAGCCTTGTGGGCATCCTCGGCTAATATTTCTTGTGATCTCTTGATCTCCCTGTATCATGATAGCATGCCTCTCATTGAGATAGTTTTGAATGATTTTATACAGATTAGAAGGGCATTTTTTTGTCTAAGTTGTGATAAGGTCAGAGGCCACCATGTGCTATCAAACGCCTTACTTATGTCTAAACTGATGGCAAGAACATATTTGTAACCATTACTTAATAAGTAATTAGTTTCCTTGGTTACAAAATGTATTGCATCAGCAGCCGATCGTTGATTACGGAAANAGACAAATTACAATAAAACGGTTTATTATCCAACTATCAGAAATTTCACAACATGCCAAGGAAGAGAGGAAGGAGCAATTAAATAATCAAAATTATGAAGGATTAAAAAAATATATAAAAATGGGGAATATCGCACTTTTAGCAATCTCTGCGAGTATGTGGGCTAAATTTAAAGAATCCGTGATTCTTGCATGGACAACTGTATGTGGCCAACTCACGCGTCGGAAAACCTTTTGATTTATTCGTGTACGCACCAGACGGAAAAACAAAAAATATCGTGTATCCACAAAGCACTCCAATAAATAAATAAAATTGAAACGACACTTTGAAATGTTTTTCCGATGAAAATGAATAATAATAATAAGTTTCAATGAAAATGATAAAATGTAAATTTAATTTTATCATAACGAGTTTGCTTGAATTTTCTTTCTTCTGAGATCGCAGCAATGCGCGACGGGTAAGCTAGTTACAAATAAAAATAAAGATGTAAATTTACATATACAATAACACATAGTTCTACTACTCGATGCGCTTTGTTTGAGTTACAAGTAATGTGTCGAGACAGTTAAATAAAAGAATGTTTTAAACTTCCATGCATATAATAGACACAAACACTCAAGAATCAATGTAAATCCGTTAATAAAACAAAAACGGCGTACAGTAAAAAACGACTATATGAGTATAAGTAATCAGCATAAATAACCAAAATGAACTCTTCAGTTGGTATTAATATAAAAAAAATATTATAATTAAAACTATACAAAACAAACAAACACTATAAAAGTATGAGCAGCAAACATTAAATAAATGCAAAGGAGACAGGCGTAAAACGGCTTCATATCCAGTAAAATTATAAGGCGGTTTGACGTAAAAGGTGCTAATACAAACAGTTAAAAATTAGCGGAATAATAGGTTAACAGTTATGGAATAATGTTATACAAACAAATTATATATATACATACCACAACAGTAAAACGATAGAGTTGAAGATGGCATTACTACAGGGTGCAGAGCAGTTACAAAGATGTGGTACAATCCTGAGTGTTTGTGCCTATAATCACTGGTGTGATAAGCCTTTATTATTACCTACCTCATATTAGTAGATATNTGTATGGAGACACATATTAAAAAGCTTATTTAAGTGGTCTGGAATAAGTTCCCATAGTTTGCGGGCTATGGTCGCCGTCATATTATCAATACCCGGTGCTTTACCATTTTTTAAACAAGATATAGCACAATTTATTTCATGCTTTTAAAATTTAGGGATTATAGGAGTATTAATTGGTATACCACCACTGTTTCTTATCGCGTGTTGTCTAACGTTATCATCCTCAGGATTATCGACAATACAAAAACGATCCATCATTTGGTTAAAAACTTTTAAAAAATTGCAGTTTAAGTTGTCACGTGCGTCGTTGACTAACGCTTGGGGTTTACGTAAACGGTCAGTACACATTTTTGTAATGAACCCCCAAGGGTTCTTTGTGGCTTTACTACAATATTCCTTCCAAGATGTAAGTTTCATTTGTTTCAATTCGTCTTTATAATATTTTTGAAAAGCCAGGTATTCATTTTTAAGATTTGTTCGTGCGGGTTCACGTCTACATTTTTGGAAAGCACGTCTCTTTTTGTTGCAGGTCTTGCGTAATTCTGTGAGACAAGGTGTCCACCAAGGTACAGGCCTTCTCTACATCTGTGTTTGCGGAATATAGAGATGACAGGCTTTATTGATTATATCAATGTTTTGGGTAATTTGATTTCTAATATTAATAGGATCTTCCAGATTATATTCTGAGAGGTTTGTTTCAAGATAATTTTGAAGGGCCTTCCAGTCTGCCCGAGAGGTATTATAGCGAAGACGTGGATCATAATTTGATTGAGTCCTGGAAGTTTGAACAACGATATTAAATGAAATATACGAATGGTCACTCAGTGACTCCTCATCAAGAACCTGCCAATCCATGACAAGAGACATACTCAGATTGTTGGTAACAGTGACATCAATCCAAGTATCACCATTGTGGGAATGATAGGTTGGCGGTGAGAGGGGATTGTTAGTAACCAATAGGTTATTAGCAAAGAAAAATTCTTCAAATTCCTTCCCTCTGTTGTCTAGCTGTTCTCCTCCCCAAGTTGGAGAATGTGCGTTGATGTCGCCTGCCACAATAATACGATTCCCATTGAAGTGGTTCATTATAGTTTGAAGGCGTTCAGTAATGCAACTAGAAGGAATTTCACGTGGGCAATAAATATTGATTATTATAATTTTGGTGGTAGCCGCCATTAATTCGAGACAAGTAATGTATTCGTTACTGTAATTTTTGTGGAATAAAATGGGCAAATAAGTATTTGTTATGAGGATGGCTGCCCACGGGTACTCAGAAGTACCTTTAAAGGTAATACAGTTTGAGGGAAAACAACAGAGAAGATTATTTAAACAATATGGTTCCTGTAGTAATATTATGTCATAATCTTTTAATTTAGTATTAAGAATAGAAGAAGC